GAAGATTTCCTGAAATGAATCAGAAAGGAACAGCCATAACCTCTCTCCCTGCAACCTCGCACGCCCCAGGAGCTCCTGGCAGGCGGCCGCCAGCCCAGAGACAGCCCGTTATGCCCAGGTTATTTATTTTTCTCACTTTGGCAGCGTCACGTATTTAATGTTTTAAAAAAGTAGTGTCTTCTTTTATCTGCGGCAGGATACAAAGCAAGAAGCAGCTTCCTAGAGCAGCCAGGCAGAAGGGAGCTGGCAACCTGTGCTGGGTCAGGAGGGGAGGAAGATTAAAAGGAGATGGGATTTTGCTTTTGTCCTTCACGGAAGACTTTATCCCCTCCAGATACACAACAGAAGCTTTCTCTCCCTTGGAGGTTGGCCGGCAATGGCCTTTCCTGGCTCTGAAAGCTGCTCCTGGGTCATGCACAGGGCAAGCTGTGACCAGCACAGCCCCCCATGGCAAACCCCAGGGCTGTCCCCTCGGGCACCACGTCCTTGGGTGGCACTCGTCCCTGCGCCAGCCCTGGCTCTTTGCCCGCTGCAAGGGGGGACGCCGATCAATTAGCGCACAACAAATAATTAAGCTGATGAATGTGGCTTTTTCCCGCTTGCCGACTGCAGTTGCCTCGAATTTATGCCCAGGATATGACTGAATTTATCCGTCACCGTTTGTAGCATTCAAAAGAGCTGTTTAATGATTTCTTTTAAGCTCTCCAGCCTGATGGGGAATAGTGCAGGGCAAATACTCATTATTTCCTATCTAAGCAGCAGCGCTGATTAGGCGGCGGTTGGTCAGATAAGTCACACCGCTCCGTTCCCCCCTCGCTGCAGAAAGGCACAAGGTCATTTGCTGCTAATGCTCAAATGCAAAGGGAAAAATGTGGCCTAAGCAAACGCTGCAAGGAATTCTCTCGTGCATTTTCAGGGCAAAACCCCGCTCTAAGTAAGAGGGCTCAGAATTAAAGCAAATACGAGGTGGGATGATTCTGCTTTCGCGCAGCCTAGTTCACAGCAGTGAGTGCAGCTTGAAGGGGCTTTCGGGAGGGCAGTGGGACTGCAGTGAAAACTTAAGTCTTGTCAGTTTGCGGACATTAAAGATCTGAAGCCAGCTCCTACTCGACTGTTAACTCCTGAATCTTCACATGATGCAATGTTAATCTTCAGCCCTTTCCTAAAATAATGTGCGGAGTTGCTATGTTCTGTTAAATGTGAACCATGTGTCACCTCAGCAATGGCTGCAACGGTGAAAAGATGATAAATCTAAAGCTTGTAAAATGTCCTGTGACATTTTGGGAGAAAAACAGGTGTTGCATAAATGTTAGACATTTATGGGTAAACTTGCAGGGGCTTTAAAAGACTGACACATCTGCCACATAGTATGTAACCCTGAAAGAGAAGGAGCAAAGCGGCCTCTTTCATGTGTCTCGCTCTTTCTACAACTGTATGAAAATACATCCTCATCTGGTATTGGAATTAACCGAGCTGGACTTGCCCCTCCTTACGTCTCCTCCAGGTTTTTGGCTTTTACACCCAATGTGTATTTTAAAACTGTGCCTTTTTAAGTAGGTGGCAAACTGTGCTGGAAGGATTTGGTATGCGGAGTATTTTTATTCGGCTCCCTTTTCTCTCACCTTTCATTGTTTTTCCCTTTGGAATATCTCCCGTAACGCTCCACTCATAAACCTCTTCAAAGGCAGGGGCTGTATTTGAACAGCCTGCCCTGAAATCTGGTCCCAGTCAAAGGCCTCAGAACGGGAAAACAAGCGGCCGAGCCGAGCCCCGTGGCCCCAGGCGCTGCAGCCGCAGGTGTCGGTGGCCGCTTTGCAGGCAGAGAGGTGCCCCCTGCCCCCTCCTCGATTCGCCGCCTGGGTTATTAGTCCCCCCTTCACCCTAGAAGTGTAATAAACTGGGGCTTAGCATCTTGCTTTTGGCGTGGAAGGTCCAAGGAGAAGGTGGTTTTTCTCACCCCTCCCCAGTGCCTCGTTCAGCCCCTGGGATGCCGTCGGGTGTTTTGGGGGAGAGGAAGGGCTTTTGGAAGCCGATTGCGTGCCGGGGGAGCGATGGGCTGTGTGGTTCAGCCCTCAGATGGGGTGATCTCTAGGATGGGGGTTTGTAAAGTATAAGCCAGGGCAAGTCTAGTTTCCCCCGTCACAAAGATACAGATCCCAGTGAACACAGTGGCAGCAGACTTCTCTCCAAAAAGCATCAAAACCTCCCTCTCCATGGGGGAAACGCATCAGATGTGTGACCAGCTGCCTGTCTCTGAACCACTTGCCCTTTGCATTGGGCAGTTTTGGCACAGAAACCAGTAACCAACTGGGCTACAAAGTGCTTTCCCCCCTCTTGGGTGGTCGCTCTGTCTCAGGGTGGCAGCGAAGCAGCAGATATTTTGAGCGTGACTCGCCTGGCTGGTAAGTGCTCACGACTCTGTGCAGATCCCCCTCTGTCTCAACTCCCTGCCCAGCAATAAATTCTGCTCCCAAACCTTAATCCTACCCCTCTCCCCCTCAACTCGGCATTCACATCCCTTTTGTTTTCAGTCCCCTCCTCACTCCAGCAGTAAGATGTGCCCTTAGCTCCTGTCCTGATAGGGCTGGTTTGGGTCGGTCTCCTCCCAGCCACCTCACTTCCATTCCTCTGGCACCTCTGGGGATTTTTCATCCCCTGCTCTCAAGCCTGGAGGCAGCAAGATAAAGTTTCCCAGGCAGGCTGTTGGAGGAGGAGAAGACCTATGCCATGCTGAGCTACCGGGCACTTCCAGCTCTGCCCTCCCAGCAGAGACCAACGAGCAAGCTGTGCCTGCCCTTGGGCTGCTCCTCCCAAGGAGGTGGAAAACCAGCCAGAGATTGGAATCTTTTCTTGGAGACATCTCCCTTATGAGGAGAGACTGAGAGAGCTGGGACTCTGTAGTCTGGAGAAGAGAAGGCTGAGGGGAGACCTTATCAATGCCTACAAGTATCTCAAGGGAGGGTTGAAGGAGGATGGAGCCAGATTCTTTTCAGTGGTGCCCAGTGAGAGGACGAGGGGCAACGGGCACAAGCTGGAACATAAGAGGTTCCACTCAAATATGAGGAGAAACTTCTTCACGGTGAGGGTGACAGAGCCCTGGAACAGGCTGCCCAGGGAGGTTGTGGAGTCCCCTTCCTTGGAGATTTTCAAGACCCGCCTGGATGCAGTCCTGAGTAACATGCTCTGACAAGCTCTGGGTAATCCTGCTTCAGCAGGGGAGTTGGACTAGATGATCTCTATGGTCCCTTCCAACTCTAAAATTCAGTGAAAATTCAGTGAAATTCAGAGACACGCTGAAGACAATCCGCTGTCTGTCACTGGGCTGGTCTCTGCAGTGGTTGTTCCAGGAGAGCTCCGTTATGGGCTCTCCATGCCCTACTCCAGCCCCAGGGAACAGAGAAGCTCACCTGCCCCTGCTCACAGGGAGACTCGCAAAAGAAACACAGCAATACAGGGGAAAAAATGTCCCAAAAAGCACATTTAGGAAAACTACCTCTTCCCCCACCTCCTACACAGTGGAGAAATGAACTCCTTCCACTTGCCAAGACATGTCCACTTGCCTTCCCCAGTGGTCCCAGATGGGCCAGAGACAGCTCTCAGGGCTGTACTGGTAAGAGATCTTTGGCTGAACCAAGGAACAGGAGCCTCCAGCCAAAGCTGTTTTAGAAGGGACTGCTCCCTGCAGAGAGGTCTTCAGTGCCTCAGCTGCAGTAGAGAGGACCTTCTTCCTTGGATGGGTGAAGTCATGTGCTGAGCCCCAGCTCCCTCTCTCTGCTCTCAAATTTTGTTATTTGTTAATATATATCAGGCACTTAGCATAGCTGGATTTTCTTCATTTTGAGCTACACTCAAATCTTGAAGACAAGGTAAAAATCTCACATGACAGCGGCTAAAATTTTCCTTCTTTTCTTTGGGAAACAAGTTCAAAATCAATCCTGGTTAGAAACATGAAATTGCTTCAAACTACAAGCTCCATCACTCATCTCCTGTCCCTAACAGTGGCTAGAAATGGGTGTTAAAGAAGCATAAAACGCTATTCCTGAGCCAGAAGCTGCATCCAGATCACAGCATTTAATAGCCATGGCTGGAGCTAAACTCCACAAATATGCCTATTCTCTTTTTGACTTCAAATCTATATTTGTTCTTAATAATACTCTGCGGAAACGCATCCTATCATTCAAACACACATTGTGCGAATAAGCACTTTCTTTTACTTGTTTGGATCCTGCTTCCAGGTAATTCCCATTTCACCCCCTCACTGCGGCGTGATAAGAAACAGTGGATTTCATTTTCCTAAGCATCCTCCCTGCATTAAATAATGCTTTTATAAATCTCTGCCACTAACCATGCCCACTGTCTCTGTTGCAGGTCCCAGTCTGTGCAGAAGATATCTCACATCTCTCTCAGCCCTGCCCCACACCCAGCTCTGTCCCTCTCTGTCCCTTTGGAGGTGGGATGGTCAGTGCTCCATGTGCACGTGGGCACACACCGATCAACATACAGACCTACAATGATGCTTTTGTTTTGCTTTCTGCTCTTTTCCTAATGGCTCCTAACCTTTAGATTCCCTTTTGAGCACTGAGGGTGGGGACCAGGATGGGCAAATATCCCCTTCTCAGTGCTTCTGTGTGAAGGTTTCCTGAGAAGTAGGTGCAGCTTTTCTGCTGAACATGCCCCAGGGTTTTGGAGCCAGCCTCTGTCTAAAGAGAAACTAGGGTTTATTTTCAATAAGAAGGAACAAATGCCTCAGACTACTGTACCTAAGCACCTGCCTTGCACAGGAATAAGGCAGGTTATGATGAAGAACACACATGTGTATCAAGAGAGAACTTCAAAATGAACCAACAAGAACTCAGTGCCTATGGGGGGACCTGATGCTTGGACTGAAGGTCCTTCTGAGACCTTGCGCCTCCCCTGTTCTACCAAAGATAACATTTTGCCAAGCCCAGAGCAGCACTCACCAAGGAATTCCCAGTGAAAAGAGGAAGGAGCATCCCTACCTTTTTGGTCTTGACTGTTGAGGCACAGCAGTCCCCACCATCATAGTTGCAGAAGGCTCTGTTGTTGATGGAGTCACAGTAGTTGTCCCCCATGAAAGGCTGAAAAAGGAAAAAGAGCAGAAAAAGTCTGAGAGCGTGGACATGGATAAAACCTGTAACAATACGTCAGCAGGAAAACATGAAGACTTGAAGGAGCCATATAGTTTGTAACATCACCAACTGCCCTGAAAAGCAAGAGATAATTATTCCCCTCTCCCTTCAAAGCAGACAGAAAAAAAAAAAAAGGACACTAGAATGAAGGGAAATGAGCCCTTGTTGACTTTTCAAATCCCACATAAGATGATGCTTCAGGAATATTAAATTGACTAGGCTCAGAGACAGCACCAAGGCATCTAAAATTGTGGCACCTTTTGATAATTTTAAGCTAACCTTCCAAAACTATGTGGGATAAGAAGAAGGTTATGTATAGCTGCAAAATCGGCTTGCTTTTAATAGCTGTACTTCCCAGCACAGTTCTCCTAACCGTGCAACAAGTGTCAGCAATGAGGGCACAAACCCTGTCACAAAGAGAGATGGAAGTGGTCTGAGCTCAGCACAGGGACCACCAGCTCTCATTCCCTGACCAGCAGTGACTACATGTGACTTTGTCCATGACATGTGATGTCCCTCCACTCCACAGCTCAGATCTGGGGTAATGGCAACTATTCAGAGCAGAGTTCTGGAGAGCTGTTGAGTAAAAATTCACAAACCACCTTGAAAAAGGAAATGTGGTCAGTAATCTGTGCAATGTGATCACCAGTCTGTGCGCTGCATACGACCTGAAGAAAAATCGTGATTCTGAAGAAAGGGCTTGAAGTCTGGTTTTTCATTACATGATGGAGCCTTCTTGGTCAGCAAGCACGAAAACCTTTCCTGGATGTCAAAAAATGTGTCTGATACGAAAAAAAAAAGCCCATGCCAGGTATGAGAAACCCAGGCAGCACTGCAAGCTCAGAAAAACGGATGCTCAGCAGAGAGCACAGTCATATCTCTGTAAGACTTCTCACACTCACAGGCTCACGGGGCCATTCCCATTTTATCTGCTCTTTGGAAAATTCATATATTCTGCGCAGTGAAAAACACACCAGGGACTTTCCTACAAGAAGGCATCACTGCAGAGCGGGTGGGGAGGCTGGTGGAGGTTTCCTGGGGGGATTTTGCAGCAATTGCAGTACCAGAGTCTCCCTGATGATTGATACCTGAAGAACCAGCAATGGGAGCTCACCATGATGTCCCTGGAGCCAGCCATGGCCACGCTCAGCAGTGTTGGGATGGACACGGGCTTTCACTGCTGATGTTTTACAAATTTAAATATTTCTATCAGGGTGTAGGAAATCCAGGCAATGATGGCAATACTGGACCACAGCAGGACTACCAGGAGGTGACTTGCTCACTGCATGTCACTTGTTTGGCTACATGCAAATGCTACAAAATGCTGACAAGGAAAGCAGAGTTACAGATTGAGGCTCCCATCCCTATAAACTGGCTCAACTCCATTGACTTCCACAGAGACTAACTTATTTGCACAGGCAAAGCCTTTGACTTGCTAATGCCCTTCCAATTTAATTAATATGCCAAGAGTTAAAAGGGAATGATTTATAAGTAGATGGAGAGATATTTTTATGCCAACCTGGTCATATTCAAAAATGTGAACTTTGCCCAATCCGAGACATTTTGTAGGCTTCTCCCCGTTTCCCTTGTCTTGCCTGGCTGTGCCTGCTCTTTGAGAAGGGCTTGCCTTTCATTTCCCAAGCCTGTGCCAGTACTCTACCCCTATGAACGCTGGAAAATCAGTAAAAGAAACTTGTGGAAGAATTTGCCTTTCACTTGCATTGGCAGAGTTGGCAAGTCAGCCCTTTGGAGGAGAAGAATGGGCTAAATAGCATCTATTCTGATTTGGGACCAACATCCCTGGAGACCTTGGAGGCCTGGCTGTGGAGGGTGAGGTCTCTACAGGTCTCCATGAATACTTTGGGTGTTCCTAAATTTTCGGAGGACTCTACAGGTAGCCCAAAGGGACTAGTTTTCTACTGAAACCCCTAAAATAGCTGCCGAGAAGAACAGGGCTGAGTCATAAACCTCTGTTCCTGCCACTAGGGAGCGACAAAAAATCACATTGCAGCAGGAGTCTGGGTCACCACTGTGCTCGCCAAGAGCGAAATAATGCCCCGCTTACAGCCTTCTGTTCAGGGAACCCTCCCTAATGCTAAGGACATTAATACATTAGGGATTTTATCAGCTTAATGGCCCAGTATTATTGACCTACTGGCTTATTAGTCCCTGATTCCACAGTCGGGAAAAAAGGCTTGGTGAAGATGGCGTTTCTTCTGAAATCTTAATGTCAGAGAACAAGCCCTGGCCCATTCCTGGATCCTGGAAGCATCATGCTCTAAAAATGATGCTAGAGGCCATTATCTGGGCCAATTGTCTGGGCAAAGCCTTCCAAGATGATAGATTGCGATGCAGTGACACTGCCGAATGAATGATGAAAAGAAGAAAGTTCCTATTGATGCAGAGGGGTCTGGCAATTAACAATGATGGAAGGGAAGAAAATGCTGAGAAAAAGCATGTCAGTAATAATGGCTTCTGGTAAATTATTACATCATTGCAAAGTTTGCCTCAGTAACAACTATCCTTAAACAGCAGGAGAATGGATACCCAATGGTGCATCAGCACCTGAATGGCATTTCTTAATGGTCGCTGGATGTTATTTTAGCTCTCTTTGGAGAATAGGGGCGCCCAGCCAGGCTGCATGAATGTAATGCGTGAGATGGCTTATGACATTCAAAGCACTGACAGCAGAATGCTTTTCATTTAGGGAACAACTAGACAGAAACTATTACATTGTTGGAGAGTTATTACCCTCTTGGGCCCGACATTTGTATGCGAAGGAAACCTGTCTTTCACTTCAAGACAAATCACGTCGCCCAGCAATGTGGTCTAGAGTTTCGTGTCAGATTTAGGAGTTCTGTGCCACGTTCTGCCACTCCGGGCAAATAACTTCAGCGCGCTTGTAAAATTGGGTTACTGGGTGCTGAGAGCGCAGTCGGTGCTGCAGAAAGTCAGGAGATGTGGGGTCAAGATACAGCTCTTCCACTGCTCGTCCATGTAACCAAAGCAGCCAGCTATCCCTCTGCCTCTGAGCCACCTCATTTCTACATTTCTACAATTTCTATCCTTACAGAGATGCTACAAGGATTGACTTCTTGACCTGGCTGAGATACTCAAGGGCTGGTATGATGGAAACAGCAGGAGCACCATGACCCAGAGCGAGGTGCTCCAGCCCTGTTTAACCACTGGAAGCATCTTAAGACTTCCTGAAGACTGTTGCCAGCAGAAACAATGTCCTTCAAAATAATTGTGTTTTTTTTCAAATAACACACAAGACTGTAAAAACGTATCACAGCTGAAATGTAACTGCATTTTTCTGATTATTTTTTCTGGTTCAGATGGGGATGCACAGTGGAGGGATGTGTGATTCTCTCACTGTCCAGCTCTGCTGTCCACCCAGAGGTACCACTTCTGCCTCTGGCTTTCCTAAAGTTTATCTGCACAACCAAAGCCCAAAGCCTAGCTGGCCCTGGAAAGAATTGGCCATCTAATAAGATGTCAAAATCAAGGAAAAACAATTGAAGTTTTTTGCAACTTCCCAGAAATTCTCAGATCCTGGGCAATTCTGATGGTCTACCGCTGCTGTTGAGCCACTTGATCCTTTAACTCCTGGGAGAGTTGCCGAACTGTTGGCTCTAGGAAAACCACCAATTTCACCATTGAGTGTCGGAGCTGATGTAGGAGACCACAGTCTGTTGGATAGGACATTCAGGGCAAAAGCCTGTTTGCCCCACTTTAAAAACCAGTATTTACAACCCAGGTGACTGCAGTGACCGTTACCATAACGTTTGGGAGAGGGACCACCTGAGCCAACGCGAAAGCTCACCTCGCAGCCTTTGACGCAATGAATCAGGGAAGGGTGAGGGTACCACTTGAGTCCCGCCGTGCAGACAACGCTCTGGAGGGGAGAAGAAAAAAAAAAAAACACAACCACAACAAAACAGGTTAAAACAAAGAAATCAGTGTACAGAAAATCAGCGTGCTGGCTCCTACGGCTCTCCCGCACTTAACCAATGAAGTTCAGTTCCTAACACCTCTTGTGTTCTTAGGACCTGGCCGTCCTCCAGGTATTTACAAGAAGTGTTGGACTTGACACTTGCAATAACAGAACATTTGAGATTAAAATAATATTTAAGGTTCTCCTAAAATGTCATGTCCAATATTTCACTCATGGTGGGGAACATGGCTGGGAAAGGCAAAGGCACAGGTCCACTCTCCTGCTCCTGGGTAGGAGGGAGACATTTTAGGAATTAACTGAGGTATTTCTTTGGTGCTGCAAATCACTATTCTCTTTGGCTACCCATTGTATCTGTGCTTCTTGAAGATGCTAAAGGTGGAATTTCAGATACATTTTCGCACCATCCTTTAGATCTTAAATGGAAGCACCTCCCACTACTTGCCTGCAGAACAAGCCCCAGAAAGGACAGCATCAACTGCTGCATTATATGAGCTTTATAATACTGCCTGTATTTATAAGAATTTCTGGATTTATAATGAATTCTGGAGTGCCTAGTTTTGGGCAAAAGTGATGACCAAGTGATGAACCTACTCAACGATGACACACCCAGGGCAGCCATTGGTTGCCTGTAGACGTGGAAACTTAGATTTTAAGAGTGGATGAAAAGTCTGGCCACTCAGTGGAGATGGTAGTTCAATACCACAAAGGTCTAGGAGATAGGGCTCCCATCCATTCACCAGGACAGCAGGCACAATGTTCATTTGGCTTATCCTCAATGGGTCCAGTCCCACGTGGGACTACAATGTCCAGTTGGGCAAGACAAACATGTGGGCACTTGCCCAAGGGCAGGGGTTGGATGGAGGCCTGGTGAAGGAAGGGATTAACATTTGGGAAGACCTGACGCACAAGCCATCCCCTCCCCTGTTTATTTGAGGGCTAATTTAATCCATCTGCAGGGGAACCTCAGCATGTTTTTACAGTTTCTGTCATTTGAGGCTTACCTGGCGCGTGCTAGAAAAAGGACTTTTATACTATCTGACTCGGGCTGTTTATCTTTCCGATGCTCTCGGATTTTCCACTATTAGTCAAGCCTGGCTTGCCCCACCTGCCTCGCAACAGGGCCCGTCTGTGTGAGCGGGGAAGCGGCCGGGCGAGGGGGGAGGATGTTGTTTATCCCCCGGGAAGGGAGGCTGCAAGGTGCGGGGGCCCTGCGGTGTCAGACATTCCCCCAGCGCCCTCCTGACAGACAGCTGGAGGTTTCCAGGCTGTTGCCTGCCACAAATGGTGAGATGTTTTTTGTTGGGTTTGTTTTAAATTATTATTTTTTTTTTTCCCCTCCCTCTTCTGTTTATTGCACTTCAGAGGGAAAAGAAAGGAAACTTTTCTAGGTTTCAAAATAAACAAGGCCAGTCAACAGAGCGGGAGGCGGGGGAGAGCAAAGGAAGCAGTTCAAGAACATTTGAACCCAACAATTAAACCAAAGTAGAAAAACTCAGGCATTTGCCTCCTGAAGCCAAGGCCAGCCAGACAATAAGTAGAAGTGCACTTCCAAGGAGCATCTCATGTTCCCCTGGTAAGAAGCATCAATATTTACAAAACCTCTTGACGTGTGTGAAGGCGTGTGAGCGTGTGGAGCTAACAAAAGGAGCCCAATAGCCCTGAAACGGGCTCTTAAGAAAGGAGGTTTCCAAGTGAGAGCAATCCCTTGCAGAAGATGCACTGACTACTTTCCTGGCATTGAAAACCCACCACCCTCCCTCAGAGGAGCGGATGGAAGGCAAAGTCCCTGCTGGGACGGTGTTCTCCTCGGAGCTCTCGTTCAAGATCATCTCAATCCCAAGGGCTGGACAGCCTCCAGGGAGAGGGAGTACAGCCCCGTGCTGCTCTCCGCAGTGTAGGAAAGCCAGTTGACCTTGTGCTAGACTCATCACTGGGACAGCCACGTTGCTCTTGAGTTGTACCTTCCCTCTCCTGAGATGACACTTTGCTAGGTGAGTGGAGACCATTAGAGCTGCTCCAGCTGAATTCAATTTTTCTAACACCCATGGAGCTGGAAGCAGAAGAAGCGTGGGGAAGAGCCCTCAGCCATGACCCTGACTCCTCTCGGTTTTCCAAACCCTGAATTCCCACCACCCAGTCTGTTCTCCTACCCTCAAGCTGCTGCTGTGCTTTGTGTGAGAGGGGAGACAGGAGAGGGGTTGTCCATAAAGGGAGAGCCTGGGTTGGAAAATTAAGAAACTGGGCATGATTCAGGTTGTTGGGCATCATTCCTGCCTCTTGTGGTGCTGCCAGGCACAAAGGTGCCACAGGGTGCTCCATGGGGCAACTGAGATAAACAAATCAGTATAAAAAGGCAGCAGCACCGTGGGACGTGACCAGGATCCGATGGCACCAGTGTGTGCAGAAAGGAAGGTGGACTTACAAAGCCAACAAAGGATGCAGTAAGAGGTGGGTGGAAGGACCACATGTGACACCTGCCAGGCCATGCACAGGGCATAAAGCCCATCTGGCCACCACCTCTACAAGCCCCATGCCTTCCCCATGCCACCATGTGCTCCGAGCCACTGTGGTGACACTTGCCACCCTCATGGGACCAGCTCCTCTCGTGCGTGGGGCTCTGCAGCACAGCTGTCCTCCTGCACGGGCCACCCTTTATGGACCTTGGTCCTGTCCCCATCCCAGAAACGCCATCCAGCCACATCTGCGGTTCGGTGGCTGTGACTCCATCCGCTGCCAGGGGAGAGGAAGGCGGGACGCACGCCCACAGTAGGTGCCACGGAGCCAAGAAAGCAAATCAAGCTGTCATTTGCTCCTTGTGAGGGAAGACCTAGTGCCTCCGGTCACGGCGCTTCCCTCCCATGGTGGGACTAACACAATGATGTCAACCATCTGCGGGCTGTGGAGGGGATTAGGTTTCCCCAGGAGAGGCGGGTGGAGAGATCTCCTCCACCTTAGATGGGTCAAGTGTCCCCCGGGGCTAAAGCCCAGGGACTGGCATCTACTGGTCTCAGCTCACTCTCTCCACAGGCCCTAAATGAATGTGACAATTAATGCTGTGGTGGTGAGGGGATCTGCTGCTGCTGCCAAAGGAGGGGAGACGTGGAACTTTGTGGCTGTAGCTACAGATAGGGTGGGAAGTCCTGCCTTCCTGGGCACTGAGCCTCCACACTGCCATAAGTCATGTCACTGCTCTGTGACTCAGTTTCCCTGCCTGCAAAATGAGCCCAAGGAAAGAGGGGAGGGGAAGGGAAGAGGAAAACAGCACTAATGAAGAGAGGAGCATTTAAGAATTCCCCTTAATGACTTCTGGACATCCAGGGCTCGCAGTCCCTATGGGAAAACCCATCACCAGCAGTGGGGCAGAGTCCCAGGGGCACCCTCAGCCCTGCTGGTGGGCAGAGTTGGGGCACGCCGACCCTTTGAGGGCTACCCTGGGCATGCACGTGTTTGCGCAGTATTTGGCTTGTTCCTGAGGCAAGGACCCAAATTCAGACAACCTGAGAAATTCGGTGTCTGCCCTGTTCCTCTGCAGTCCCTGGGAAGGAGCTGCCAAGCCAGATTTCTGAGACATTCCACTTTTTTTCTCCCCACTGCACAGTCAGCCTTGGCAGCTCCATCCATAGGTGTCTTCAACTGCTCACGGCCCCGTGCACCCACCCAGGAAATGGGAAATCATGGGAGCAACAAGGGTCACTCCAACACGGCCAGCAGCAGAGCAGCAGACAGACAGATTTGAGGTGAATTGTGTTTTCCTGCTGAAAAGACTGATTCTGAAGGCACTGCCAACTCGCGCTGCTTTCGGCAAACTCCTTCAGACCCAACAAAGCAACTCAGCCTAAGCCGATGCCGAAAAACACAGCAATATTTAGACATTTTTCAAGATGAAATATCTGTTGTTGTTTTTCCTTTGAGAGGACATTTAATTTCTAAGGCTTTTTTTTTTTTTTTTCATTTTCATTAAACAAAACATTTAAAAAAAAAATCCCTGGAAATGAAACACTAAGTTATGTTCAAACCAACATGGTTTTTCCTCCAATTTTTTGGTTCACCAAAAATCACAACAACAAAAAAGTCACTTTGATTAGGAGAAAACATTTTTTTTTTTTTTTTTTTTTTTTTTTAATTTGACGGAACTTCCAGCGAACCGAGAAATCAAGTGATTTGCACAGCTCTGCTCTAAACAACCCTCAGAGGAGGGATGGGTCCCTCTTCCCACTTCGCTTCCATAACATCTGTTGCTTGAGCAGCCACACACAAATATTGTTGTTTTTTTTCTTCTTGCCAGTTCTCCCTATGTTTTATCTGCTCTTGTGCTCTCAAAGGTAAGCTCCAGAGATCGCTCCCGCCTTTATCTGCTCCTCGTCCTGCTCTCGTTTGTACGTTACTTGTGCCTGAAATTAAGTAACTAAAAGTGTTTCCTTTGCGTCATTCAAGTACTTTGAGATCCACAAAGACTTGCCGTGTAAATGCAACCAGCTGCTCGCTTTACTCGTACGGCACAACAAGCAGGCTGTCACTGCCCGTAATTAGAGCCACATATTATTAATGATATATAACACATTGCCATGGGGACCTTCCCCTAAGGCATCCCAGCCCCGGCTCTCCAGGCTCTCCCTGGTCCCACCAGCAGCAGCTCTCCCCCGGTGGCACCCAGCGAGGCACGGCTCCTGGGGGGTGACATCCCCTTATCTGCAGAGTTGAATAAGATGGATGTTTCACAGCTACCAAAAAAAACCACCCCTCCAGCGTGTCTCAGCATCATCCTAAAGGCTCCCCTCCATCTCCCAACGCAAGTTTGCAAGCCCAAATAATTACAAAGTGTTGGTGGGGGTCAAACCTTTGTCTGCCCACAGCCTAAAGCTCTTGCAAGATCCTCGCCATCAGGACAAAAGAAAGGTCTTATTTACTACTGTACTCTTGGAAACCATGATTTCTCCTCCATCCCTCACTCCCCTCATCTCCCCCTTTACTACTATATGTTTTCCCTGCTGCCTAATGAGCCCTCCAGAGACCTGCAGGTATAAAACTCGTTACAGCTCCCTCTGTGTACCCGCATCAATAAACGAAGGAGCGCAGCGGAGAACGGGAGGGAAGCTGTCACTTTATTTCACCATGAATTACAAAACCACTTTAAAGTCTAGCACTCGGGAAAGGGCCGGTGAGAAATTGCCCCTAATACAGAGATAGGGGTTTTCTTTATGTTTCATGCCAGAAACTTGGCAAAGCCTCAGCTTAGGCAGTAATATCATCTCGGGAGGCTGGGAAGGACACTGCAAGCTTGTCATATTCTCTGGACTTGGCTTCCCCACCCCTTTCCAGGATTTATTCTATTGCTCCATGTGAAATAGGGAAGTATAAAGTGGCAGAGCTTTTTGGAGCGGCTCACTAGCCACAGCCAAGGCCAGATTTCCAAAAAAGCCCAAACCCTGGGTATATATTTAGGCATATAGAGAAGCAAATGGACTGTCAAAGCCGCTCAGGACACGCTGGGGCTGCGTTGGCTGCTTGTTCTCCTCCTCAATGGGGCTGGAGTGTGTAAAACAGACTCCTGCAAAGCCAGGAGCTGCCTGTAAAAGCCAGCAGTGTTTGCCCAAGCACCCTGCACCCTGCAGCCTGGTGACAGGGGATGTGCCAGTGTCTTCTGATGTGCACTTGGGCATGTCCAGATAAACCCCTCCACCGCAGAAGAACCGCTCAAGCGCCTGGTTACAGGCGGCTCGGGGCAGGAGGGTGCGTTTGTGTCGATGGCACGAGGGTTTTCAGGAAGGTGGATGAGTGTGTCTCCCTCTGGTATCCGAGTGTAAGCATGGAACCACACAGCTTCTTGCTGCAAGGGGGTGTGTGTGCAGGGGTGAGAGTGTGTGCAAGGCACTGTACGTGTGTGCAAGGTGCTGTATGTGTGTATGAGACACTCTATGTGTGTGCAAGGCGCTGTACATGTGAGTGAGGCACTGTATGTGTGTGCAAGGTGCTGTACGTGTGTGCAAGGCGCTGTATGTCTGTGTGAGGCACCATATGTGTGTGTGAGGTGTTGGACATGTGTGCAAGGTGCTGCAGATGTGTGCGAGGCACTGTATGTGTGTGCAGGGCCCTGTATGTGTGTGCCAGGCACTGTATGTGTGTGCAAGGTGCCGTGTGTGAGGTGCTGCACACGCATGCAAGGTGCTGTACATGTGTGCAAGGCACTGTACATGCATACAAGGTGCTGTCTGTGTGTGCAAGGTGCCGTATGTGTGTGCAAGGTGCTGTATGTATGTGCAAGGTGCCATATGTGTGTGCAAGGCACAGTACATGTATACAAGGCGCTGTACGTGCCTGCAAGGCACTGTGCAAGTGTGCAGGGCACTGTATGTGTGTGCAAGGTGCTGTACGTGTGTGCCAGGCACCGTATGTGTGTGCAGGGCCCTGTATGTGTGTGCGAGGCACTGTATGTGTGTGCAAAGTGCCATATGTGTGTGCAAGGTGCCGTATGTGTGTGCAAGGCACAGTACATGCGTACAAGGCACTGTACATGTGTGGCAGGGTGCTGTACATGTGTGCAGGGTGCTGTACATGTATGTGAGGTGCTGTAGGTGGCACGTCCCCCCTGGCACAGACGGTGCTGGTGTGTGCTGAGGGTGCAGAGCAGCGGGTGCCGCCAGCAGCGGTGCCCCTGGCAGGGCTGTGCTGAGCAGGCAGCTCTCCCATGCGGGCACAGGGGCAGGGGGAGGACTCAGCCAGCTCTGCCCCTGTGCAAGGTGCTGCAGATGTGTGCGAGGCACTGTATGTGTGTGCAGGGCCCTGTATGTGTGTGCCAGGCACTGTATGTGTGTGCAAGGTGCCGTGTGTGAGGTGCTGCACACGCATGCAAGGTGCTGTACATGTGTGCAAGGCACTGTACATGCATACAAGGTGCTGTCTGTGTGTGCAAGGTGCCGTATGTGTGTGCAAGGTGCTGTATGTATGTGCAAGGTGCCATATGTGTGTGCAAGGCACAGTACATGTATACAAGGCGCTGTACGTGCCTGCAAGGCACTGTGCAAGTGTGCAGGGCACTGTATGTGTGTGCAAGGTGCTGTACGTGTGTGCCAGGCACCGTATGTGTGTGCAGGGCCCTGTATGTGTGTGCGAGGCACTGTATGTGTGTGCAAAGTGCCATATGTGTGTGCAAGGTGCCGTATGTGTGTGCAAGGCACAGTACATGCGTACAAGGCACTGTACATGTGTGGCAGGGTGCTGTACATGTGTGCAGGGTGCTGTACATGTATGTGAGGTGCTGTAGGTGGCACGTCCCCCCTGGCACAGACGGTGCTGGTGTGTGCTGAGGGTGCAGAGCAGCGGGTGCCGCCAGCAGGACGAGGCCGTGTCCCCTGGCAGGGCTGTGCTGAGCAGGCAGCTCTCCCATGCGGGCGCAGGGGCTGGGGAAGGACTCAGCCAGCTCTGCCCGTTCGGGAAATGAAATACCCTCTGTATCAGCTTCTTTTGCCATCCAAAAGCAGCGCAGGAAAATCCAGCCTGGCCACCCAAAGAATGTGAAATACCGAACAGGAGGAAGGAAAGAAAAACCACCCGGTGCTCCTTCTCTCACTGCCCATCACATCTTTCTGTGCAATCATTCCTGTTTCCAGATCAGACCCACCGTGGGTGCTGGGTGGATCTGAGCACACCCAGCTGGGGCCTTTACCTTGAACTGACTTTCACTGGGAAATCACAAGAGAGAAAGGAACTTCCAGAGAGAGCCCCCACGTTACCGGAACAACATGCAAAGACACAACAAGGACCAGGAATTCCTTTCTAAAGGGCAGAATTCCCCAGGAATTGGGTTCGTTGGATGAACCCCGGGTAACGCTGTCCACTCACTGCACATAAAGAGGCAAGAAGGGATATAGTCAGGGATGCAGAGATCACCCACCTTCACTCTCTGAGGGTTCATCCAGTACTGGATGTCTTGCACAGTCTCGTTCACACGCAGGAGGATGGGCTCGTGACTGTGGTCCAGACAGGAGGTGGTACACTCTGCACCTGCATGGAAGAGGATGAAGGTAACAGTTAAAGCTTCTGGCCCTTTCAACATCTTTCCAGCTGAAGGATAGGAGTAGGGTTCATTTTCCCTAAATTGCAATTAGCAGTCAACCATAACTATCACATATCTTCTAGCCACACGCGAAACGCTGAGTACGACCATAACTATCACATATCTTCTAGCCACACTGAGTACAACCCTGCATCCCAGCAGGAGATCGTGGGGGTGGCAGATACTCCAGGACCTTTTTTGTATGAACTGTGTATCTCGGTATTTCTCCGGTTATTAACTCCAAGGAAGGGGTCAGGTTTTGTGCTTTCAGATCATCAAGCAAATGAGAAGGTTTTTCCATTTCAACTGCTCTTTCAAGCAATGGGACTGATTAAGCAGAGGCTGCTGAACTCATCTCACCTATGACACGATGAAAACTTACCGTTTGATCTATCAAATTCACAGACCTTCAATAATAATCTTTCAGAGGGTGACCAAACCTAATGATACTGCAGACGAGCTATCACCTAAGTCCCACAGTCGATAAGACGTACACAGAGAGGTAATGATGGCTTTGTTCACACATAAACCTGCTTTTTCTCTGATTAACTGTCATGCCCAGTGGGAATCCTGTCCCTTCTTTATTAAAACATGCTGTGATACTCTGCAGCAATATCCCAGAGCCCTGTGGTGACACAACCGTAAGCCCTAGCGTGTTGGACCATTACCATTTCCCCCCTGGAAAATCACTCTTGAATGGCACAGCTGCTGCAAACATGTCATTAGGATTTCTGCACTCCAATCAGCGCTGGGGGAGGAATTAATCTCCGCACTGGTTTGGAGAGCTGAACCTTGGGCTCAACACACACCTCAGCCTGGAAGGGCAGATTAGGTGTCTGAGGAATTACCGAAGGTGTGTGGGATTCATAGTGACCATGACTGGATGCTATTATTTTCCCCACCTGCTTCTGCCTTCTCACGTGCTCCCCCACGGAGGAGTCAGCAGGAGCAGAGCAGACCCGGGCTGTTGAACCGGGGAACGCTTGGGGTTTGTTTTGCTTTCCCAGCACACGTGGTGGTGGCTCCACGGACCTGCTGGATGAGCCCCATTGCCACCAGCCCCATCGCGAGTGAGCGGCAGGAGAGCTCCTTCTCCAAAGGACATGGATCAGGCTTCCAAAAACACAATAAGAGAAGAAAACCCCAAGAACCTCATCCCGAAAGGTGGTGCTGGGCGAGCCTAACAAAGTGTGTGGTATGTCTCCATCTGCTGAGGATAAGAGCCAACGGCCGCTGTGCCCTCGCCGAGCTCTTCCTCCCTCTCCAGAGAGAGCCACACTCTCCTGGAGGATCTGGCCCATCAGTCCCTCACCTCCATGGCATCTGTGTGGTCCCACCACAGGATCAGGCCCACCAGACCACGCATCTGGGATGGGGACCTACTGCCAGCCACCTCAGCACGGCTGGGAGAAGACCCATCTGGCCGGCGCCTGCTGCGTGGGCAGCTTCAGACCCTCCTCCTTCCAGCACGGAGATGCTCCCCTCCAAACCAGGAATGGGTACTTCTCTCCTCGCAAAAACCTGTCTGGCTCTGGGAGGTAACCTCCTCTCAAGGGTAAAACTCCTCTCGCCACATGAAGAGTGGCTGCAGCCCTCCGGCCGCCGGCTCTCCCGCACCCCACCACGCTATTTACGCTGACGGAAAGGAGCGGGTCGGAATTGTTTTGATATATGATCTGTAATTGGCATCATTACAGAGCGGTGATCTCATCCAGGTCGTGTTCTCCTCCCCGGGGAGGGAACACAAGGAGGCTCGTGGTCCCTCGCATGGCTGCGATCTAATGAGGGAGCCGCGCAACCA